ATATTTTACGACAACTGTCTTGTTGACGGCGTCTTTTATTCGTTCCACTGGGGTTTAGCAGGTGTGTTTATAAAGAGACGAAAATTGTTTGGGGACTACCCCCCACGTTCTAGTTGAGATGGTATAACCCAAGAGGCAAAATGACGCTTGCGACTGTTGTTGCGAGTTGCCATTCGTTCTACTAAACCATTAGTCAAACGCCATCATGCCTTCTGTCGTTATTACACAAACAAAAATCTCTTTACTGTTACTAGTGTTAGTGCCTCAATATGGCTACGCTCGTGAAAGCAATACAACGAACTCAAACGCGTCTTCGTTCAGTGTTGTCAACAAATAGCCGGATTATGCAAATTTTCCTCAATTCTCCGGAGAAATTTTCATACAAATTTGAAAAACCCGGAATTCCGGGAAAATCCGGAGGACTTTCATCTCTGAAAATGTTAAATTAATGCAACAAATATTACAAGATGGGCAACAAAACAAAACAAAACAAAAAAAACAGCGGCCCATACATGGCTCCTGTGGTGTACTTTGCCAAGGGGTAAACATTTTGACCCTGTTGCGAATTTGATTCAGATTGAAAAATGATACAACACCAAATTCTGCGGTCTCTCACTACTTTTTTTTCATTGAATGTCTGACATTCATTACAGCAGTTAGTGTAACTGTACAAACTGACGTCATTCCACGTTCCACCCAGCTAACAGCACCTGCCCAGACAAACCGGTTCCACCTATTTAAGAAGTTACTGGTGGACCTCGTCACTATTGATAATTTCCTGTAGTGACTGCAGCAGGCTGCTCTGCAATGCAAGAAATGTTAAATAGAAGCTAAAAGTAGGAATAAACAAGTGCAACAACAATGTGGTGTGAGATCACGTAAGTTAGCCCCACTGTTACTCACAACATGGCAAAAATCACAATTGCTTGCTCAAAGATGCGTTTTTGAAAATAGACACACACAAATCAAATACCGTACTTGGATGTAGAATTTCACACTTGAGGGTTGGGACTCCAGAATTTGTAATGGTTCAAATTATTTGCCTCCAATGGATTAGGAGGGCAAAAAAATCCATATGTCCCCTATACAGGGTTCCTGCAGCTTAATGCATGTTAAATTGTAAAATTTTTCAATCCATTTGCTTTTTTTAAGACCAATGTTCTCAATGTCCCATGTTGTCCAAAGTTGCTACAGTAGATACAGTAGTGCATCTGCTTGTCTTGAGTCCCGACTAAAACCAAATCATTGTTTCATCGCTTCTGCTATCATCATTATGGGATGTTCCAAGTCATCTGTTTGTTGTTAATTATCTTCTTAAGAACGTTAAATTTATTTTGAGATTTCACATAACAATGGGCGGCAATTGAAAAGGATTTGAGAGAAAAACAACACTAAAAACAAACTGTTTTAAACCCCTAAACTCATCCCCTAAAGTTTGCAATAAATAAATCCACATACAGGTGAATCTGCTGGTACCGAATCGCAAGTATGCGGGAGTCTACTAACGATAATAAAATTCCACTTACCATATTAACATTTGTTCAGACTTTTGAAAGATTGATTTTGGACATTTTAAAAGGGCTCTTTTACTAAAATAAGGCATCTACATGAGAGTTGAGACATTCTATGTCTGCTTGCAATTTTAGTTATTTTTACAGGTAGGCCTACACAAGTTGGTGCTGTCCCTGCCTTGATGTAAGAGTCTTACTACATACTTTAGGAGAATATGACTCAAGTCAAAGTAAAAAGTATTTCTCCAAATGATGACTTGAGTAAGTATATTATGTGGAAAAAAAAAACGACTCCAGAATTACTGTTGAGTGAGTTCTGATTTATTATATTTTAAATCAGAGCAGCAATGTCAAATGGGCAAATAAAATAAAAATGAGCAAATAGATATTGCTCAACAATATCACAAAAACAATAAAAACAGAGACCACTTTTACAAATTGCGACATGCCATCCGATCTGATTACATTTCTCTGAAATCTATGGAAGCCATCTGAGAGACACGACATATACACAATAAATGGGGGTGTGGTACAAAATAGAAAAACATAACTCGACATAAAACATTTGATACGCCAATACTTTTCTCCTCAACGGCCTTGCCTGATGATGATGTCTGACATGTCATCAACCTTCACCAGCTCCAAATTCTGCAAAAACGGAACATACAGAAAAACATCAATATGTTTGCCATACTAGAACGGGGGCATTGGTGGTACTTGGGAAGTTGGGGACAAATCCTAAACAGCCTGTCCATTCCAGGCCAAATAACTATAATATTAAGCTCTGGCTCTCGGCAAAGTCGGACGCTTTTTGCTCTGCTCCCCACCAACCCTCCCCTTTACTCCTCTGCGAGCTGACTTCGTCTAATGTGCTGTCTTTCGTCTTGATATAGCCTCCCTATTTTCTTTCTTCCGAAAGACAAACCATGGAAGGTCAGTAGCAGAATGGTTAGTGAGGGACTGGGTGACTCCAGACATGGTGGTGGCAGTGAGGGGGATGGGGAGAAAGATGTGGTGGTTTTATTGGGGGAGAAGGAAAAGAACGGAGCAGGAACCAGCAATAACAGGACCAGTACAGACATCTGTGAGGCTGATATAGTGTACACAGTTGTACTATGCGTACTAATATTTTACAAAAATGAACAGACCTAAAATCACTGTCTCGGCTAATTCGAGGCGTTACCACAGGCAGAAGGGAAAAAAAAAAAAAAAATGCCCAACCTTCAGTCATGTACATCACGCCAAATTTTGGGGCAATTGCATCCCTGCTGTCCATCTTAAGTGGGTCATATTTAATGACTATCTGGAAATACTGTACTTCAAAACGTGAAAACGGTTGAAACTTTCTGAAGATGAGCGCATTGCTGTGCATTGTTCAGACCATTGTTGTGTATATAGCCCGTGTTAATAACTCAAATGCAACAGGTCAAATGTCATGTGACAATTATTATTCTGAAGAAAATCCCACGCGAGAAACAGGATCTATATGTCTCTAATGCAACAACACGGACGAATGCCCTCAAAATGCAGGAAAAAAAATCTCAGGAATGATGGAAAATTTAGGGCATATCAGTAAAACAAGTCATCACAAGGTCATACTCACCTTTTCATTTGCAAGATGGAGCAGAGCAACAAATGCCAAAGGTATTGACAGGTTCTGAGCCATTGTGGTGGGTAGTCTAGACCAGCAGAGAGTTTCAGTCTTTAGTAATACATTTAAATGGTGCTGATTTAAATTACATGAAGGCAGATTGTTGACAGTAATGTGCCTATTCTTTTTTTTTTACCGCTGTGCAAACCATCCATCCATCCAGCCAACCATTTTCCAATTCTAATCCGCTTATGCTCACAGGGGTTGCGGGCGTGCTGGAGCCTATCCCAGCTGTCTTCGGGCAGTAGGCGGGGGACACTCTGAACTGGTTGCCAACCAATCGCAGGGCACACACAAACGAATAACCATCCACGCTCGCACTCACACCTAGGGACAATTTTGAGTGTTCCATTAACCTGCCACGCATGTTTTTGGAATGTGGGAGGAAACCGGAGTACCCAGAGAAAACCCAGGCAGGCACGGGGAGAACATGCCAACTCCACACAAGAAGGCCGGAGCCAAAAACAAACCCTGCATCCATCCATTTTCTCATCTGCTATTCCTCACGAGGGTTGTGGGCGTACTAGAGCCTATCCCAGCCGAATTTGGGCAGTAGGCGGGTTACACCCTCAACTGTTTGACAGCCAATCACAGGAAATATAAACCAACAATCATTCGCACTCACAGTCACACCTAGAGACAATTTAGAGTGTTCCATTAACCTGCCATGCATGTTTTTGGAATGTGGGAGGAAATCGGAGTGCCCGGAGAAAACTCACGCAGGCATGGGGAGAACATGCAAACTCCACACAGGAAGGCCAAAGCCAGAATCAAACCCTGCACCTCTGCACTGTGAAGCGCATGTGCTCACCAGTCGCCCACTGTGCCTTGTGCAAACAATTTCAGATTAATCCATGTCATCACTCAACTAAAGACTAATACAGACTGAGTAATTTGTGAACTGCTAGTCAGTCGGTGTTTTTCCTTTCTCAAAGCAGGTCAGCTGTGTCATAGGTCTGTTATGTTACCTTTGAAGCAAGGTCTTTGTGGTCTGGCTGAAGACTTTTTCCTCACAAACCTCAGGTTTCTCTGTAACCTCCACGTCCTACAATGAAAATTAGTCGAACATAACCAATTGAATATACACGCACAATGGTAAACGGTCAAGCTGAAAATCCAAAAGTTGCACGCAATGATGAATGAATAAAAGAAAAAATGGGCAATATATCAGGATAATTTACCTTGCTGGGGTTTTCTGGGCTTTCACTTAGAAGAGTCCACATGCTGCTCTTGAGTCTCTTCATGTCCATTTTCTTGGCTGTCTTAGCATAGTTGATCTCGATCTTGTTGACCTTCAAAAAGATGTAAAACAATTTATTAACATTCTGTGTGCGAGTTACAACATTATTGTGTTTTCACCTACAGTTACAATCTGTAAGCAGTTGCACCTATGATCTTGGCGAAATAAACAAAATGTGACTAGTTGATGATTTGTCTTAGACTGATTCATGCATCTTTACAGGTACATCAATACATTACAGTATCCCGATATCCCAAACATTTATTTTACAACTAAATGGAATGATTCATTTCCAACAGCCTTGTTTTCACGTCATAGCTTGAGTCTTGGCCACGCAGTTTCCAGTCGTTTGTGGGTTATTTAATTTTTTTTTGTGTCCATTCAGATTTGAGGTTTGAACACACATACACACCATATGTATAAAAATTGGATGCAAATAAGCAACAACAAAATATACCGACACTTCTAACTTAACAAGGAAGATCAATAGAGCTAGTCTATGGGTTTCCTTCTGCAACGTGAGCTTTCTTTTAAAGCACACATCGCTGATTAAGTTACAGGCTCTGGGTGGAAGTTGGGTTTTAGTATCACAACAAATATTGTTTTTCAGTTAGAGCCCGTAAATTGCTTGTGTCTGCAATATTTCTGCCACTTATTTACTGTGGAGATGTACTGTTTATGAGTGCTTTGCTGAAATGCCTTCAGTCTTTAAACACTGTTTATCACAGCACTTTAAGGTTTGTCACTGGTGATGGAGGCCTCACACATCATTGTGACTTGTATATTAAATCTGGTGTGTTGTGTTCTTCATCTCTGATGTTCTCATTTCACATAATGCCCCTAGTGTTGCGACTGAGACATGTAACTCAAATGTCTCGTGTTAGAGGATACATTTAAGAGAACTGTGGTAAGACTGTTGGGGAAAACATACAGCTGGGTGTTAAAATGTCCTAAATGACAAAGTTGTTCTTCAAAAAAGTGTTGTATTTGAGTGAAAACTAATGTTCAAGAAAGGTTTGTGTTTTGGAACATTTTTTGATTAAAATGAAAACATTTTCATCACAATTGCAAGAAGCCTTATCAAGTAAAGGTACATGGAATCGGCAGCTGCTGTAAAGTATTTACACTTGTAACTGGTCTAATAGAAAGTGATACTGGTGCATCCTTCATTCTTGTCTAAAGTTGTCCGAAACAACCCTCAAAGAATTTTGTAATGTGTGTCTTCTAATTTATTCCAATGAGGAAAAATAGCACTACATAATAGTGCATTTTTTAATGCACCGTATTGTTCACTATTTGACACACTGCTGCTTACTGTATTGCTATTGCAAAGTGTTCACTGCCACCATACTTGTACATCTGTGCTAGTAAGTCAAAATAAATGAATGAACTCTGTAGGGCGCTACTGTATCTTTGGGGGTTTGCTCTGTGACAGCTTGTTTATTTTGGTTAATATGATCCTGATATAAACATTTCAGACCATTTCACCTCTGTAAAGTGAAACCTTAGGTCAACACGAAATTGGTAAGGGCTATTGTGAGAAAATGCTTGAAAACAACCTACTCTCTGTGGTTCAGGTACAAGATCTTCATCGCCATAAGTCGAGATCCCTTCTTGTGAGGGCAATGGAAAACTCTCTCCTGAAGGTTGTGTATCGTCAGAGTCGGGAAACCCTTCCACTTCATCGTCACTGTCAGCAGCCTGAAGAGGATGATGGGTAAAGACTGTGAACACTATGGTTCTTTTGTTGTAGGAAGACAACCGTCGACGACCCTAACATGAAGTATTTACATATCACTGCACAAGGTCACATTTCTTGTATGACCATGACATTCAGTTGATTGAACGAACCTGTACATAAGATACAACAACAAAATTAATAACAAAGACAGTCTAAATAAAATAAAGTAAAATAAAAGCAAATAAGCTGCTAGAGCCACAACAAAATATGTACAAAAAAATTCACGTTTTAGACATGACGTAAAATGGAAGCGAGGAAACCGCTAGTGACGCCACAAAATGTGCACGAAAAATGTCTCACGTGTGCGCTTGAGCACAGCAGAGCAAAATACTAATTTGAATGCTTCAATGACTGCAGATTTAATTTAAAAATATTGTTTTAAATCAAATCAATGTTTAATCTTCAACATGGAGGTCATCTGAAACATCATGAACAGAAAACACAGTTTTGATGTGGCTAAGAGAAGCTAAAAATAGGCTAGTGCTAATGCGTGATGCTCATGGAAGCGTGAAAACCTGCAGGGTTAAAGGTGAGGGGAAAAAAAAGTTGTTGCTTTCAATCTGAACTTCACGGTACTTTTTAGAGAAGAAAAATCGAAATGGGACTTCATACCTGAAGACCTGGACAAAAGTTGGCTGTATCGTTGGGATTGTTGTAGTCATAGTCGCCAATGCCTTCTCCAAGCTCTCCAGACAATCTCTTCTGCGCTTCTTGACATAACTATTAAAAAAAAAAAAAAAAAAAAAAAACACTCAATATATTATTTTGAGCTGCTACCAATAATTAAAATCAATCACAGAAATGGGTGGAAAAAGGCTGAATAATGTTCAAAATAAAAAAAAAAATGCTATTAAATCCGGCAAATTCTTTTTCTCCAAGATGGCGCCCAAGTAGGCAGCCGTCAGCAAGTGCTCTTCAAGAGCCTTGCTTTTTTGTTGTTTTGTGTTGTTTTTGTGTTTTGTTTTGTCACATGGTGTTGTTGTTATGTCGTGTGGACCTGATGTGGATTGTTTTCAGCGTTTTTTGGCTACGACATTCGTCAAAGAAGAAGAATCTCTGCTTGGTGGTTGCGCCTTTTCGGCAGCACACGTGTACCAGCACTGATTTTGATTGGGAGGAATGTCGGCGCCATTTGACTGTTGTTGCTGGACAGCCCCGAGGCGCCTGTGTTTTTTGCACATGTAATGGGCAGCATTTTTCACAGCCCCGTTTTGTTCAGCGGAAATGTTAGTGCTGTTGGACAGTCTGCAGCTGGATGGATGGAAAGATTGTGGAGCCGACGATGAAAAGAAAGGAGCAACAGCGCAGATGCGTATGTGGAACTGAGAGTCGCCGCTTGGAATTGAAGCAGATTTACATGTGACTGGAGATGTGAGTCAAGCTCTTTTTTTGTCATTGGACGTTACAGCTTCTTGTTTGCTTTCAAACTTAGCTTGTAGCAGACGTACACTTTTTCAGCATGACGTCTCTGATCCACTGGTGAAAGGACACTTTGATTCTCTCCTCTTTCATCTAAAACTGCTTCAAACAACAAAGTGGATGCAGACAAAGGGGTTGGGATTGCATGACTCTTGTGTGTTGTGTTCTATTACTGTACTGTATTTTCTTATTTTATGTTAACTGTTCTTTGATGGCGACGCGGGTAACCGCAGCGGTTCCTCTCTCTCCTGGGGTTAAGAGGAAAGAAATTTCATCTGTGCTGTATGTTGCACGTAGAGCATATTTGACAATAAAGTGGACTTGACTTGATTTGAAAAGACTACTATGTTTTGCAATGGGATTCCAGAGTCAAACGGGAAGTATACCGGAGGAGTTAACCTGAAGAAATCCAACCAAGAATTTTTTTTTAAATCCACTCAGCGAACACACACACACACACACACACACACACACACACACACACACACACACACACACACACACACACACACACACACACACACACACACACACTTCACTTGTACTTATTGGCTATAAATAAGATATCTCTGTTGGCTAGCACAGCCAGTATGGTCTCACCGATATGGAGGGTTTAAGAGTGAGTTGGGAGAGAGTCTCTGGTGTAAACTGGAAGTCTGCTGGGAGAGTTGTTTTCTTGTTGCAGGAACTGAGCGCAGACTTGCTGATTGTGGTGGCAGCCTACAAAGGGAAGATTCACTTCACACATACTGTCGTTACAACAAAACCTACATTATTTGCGATGATGAGTAATGTGTTGCAAAAGCCGGATGCACAGATACACGGCCAAATTTGGATATATTAACTTGCTTGCAATTCAAGTTGCATGAGTTATTTTTATTTAAAGATCCACTTGGAAAATTGTCATGCCACAGTACACCACAATCTAATCTTCAATCTTAACTGTTAAAGTATGGTGGAGGCGGCATCATGGTTTGGGGTTTATTTTGTACCTCAGGGCCTGGGTGCATTGCCATCATCGAGAGAAAAACCGAATCCCAAGTTTATCAAGACATTTTGCAGGAGAACATAAAACAATATGCCTGGCAGTGGAATCTTAACAGTGGAGGGGTGACTGACTGTTGTGCATGTGATTGCAACTAAAGTTTGGTTGAGGTGTTACTAACCAGTTAATAATTCCAAAGGTGTGCATACTTTTCCACCCTGCCCTGTGACGTTTTCATGTTGTGTTCAGTAAAAACATAATTATTTGTGCGGTATTAGTTGAAGAAAACTGTTTGTCTTTTGAGTGACAAATGTATGCAACAATCTAGGCAATTCCATAGGGTTCATCTATTATTATGATGATTATTATTTTTATTTTACAATTATATACCTCATCAATGTAGCTCACATTTTAAGATTAAACTTATAAGTGATAATGGACTTTTGAGAGCAAACATTTGTCATGAAGATACTGCATAAAGAAAACAGTTACTCTTGTGGTGCGGAAGTAGGTATCAAAGTTGACGTCGGTGTTGAAGTCTATTTCAAAGGCCTTTTTGGGCTTCTTTTTCCGTGTCTCCTTATCAGGCAAGTGGTCCACTGATGGAAAGAATAAAAAAGTAGTTATTCTGTGCTGTGATCATCTCATCCATAAAAATAACAAACTAATGTAATAATGAGAGCTATGATAATGGAAATTATGAAATTGCTTCATCATAAAAGCTTGATAAGCACGCAAAAATAAGATTGTCTTATATTATTTATCTCATTGTTTATCCGCGCTTGGTGTGATGTTTGCATTCATATATAGTTGCAAGCTACCAGTAACAACAAATTTGGGCCATGTCTGGTTCCATAACTGTAAGATTATGGGGACAATTCCGTTTCCCCTCATTTCAAATTACTTACACTTGTGTTTTGGCTTGAACTGCCAGTAGCCTGGTCCAGCCCACGTGGCCATTGTCCTTGGGCTAAAATACGAATATTCCCTGGGCTGAGTGGACAGCTGCAGACACATAGTGGCGATATCTCCCTCTCCAATTGGTATCACATCACTGGAAGACCAGAGAAAGTGCATGAGAATTTTTTAAATAGAAGAAATGTTTCTGGTGAAATTATCTCCTTACAACTGGTAACGTTTACAGAATTCTGCAAAGCATCAATATTACATTGAGTAGAAGACAAAAGTGCCGGCTTGTCGTTCTCACCGTCCTGTTTTAGAAACCGAGGCCTCACAACCGTATTTATGTTCCTTTAGCCCCTCCTCACAGTCACCCAAATCCTCCTCGTAGTCTCCATCAAATTCGGGATAGTCCTCTTCATCAGCTTCGGGTTCAGGCTCAGCATTGATGTCAAAAACGTGTTCACCTTGCTTCATTTTCTCCAAAAGTTGGTTCATTGTCTGAAAGGGGACAAATGCCAGTGACGCTTGAATCAAATCTGCAGGTTTGATGTGTAAACTTTCCCCCCAAAAGCGATCAGATAGTTCTCTCATTTGTTTTCAGCAAATCTGATAAGGACGAAATAAAATTATTAACTTGACCACTGTCTGAGCATTGCTACCTGCTTTCACCAGGTCTAAAAGTCTGGTCTGCTATCAAATTGTTTTTAGCGGCTCGTGCATTGAAGATGGCAGCTAGTGGCAGCGAGAACTAATGGGAATTGCAGAATACATTGACAAATGATGACAGGTAACAGAATAATTCTTTGATGTCAACCACATTTATTATTGTGATTGTAGTGAGCAGTGCACTTTAACTTGATTGCAAACTACAACTACAATAGACTAGTCTGATAGACAATGTTTACTTATATCCAAGCAAAATACTCTCAGACCTGTTCAGGGTTCCACCTTGTGAAGGAGAAGTCCTGCAGAGAGGGGCAGATGTCACTTTTCTCCTGACACCGCTGCAGCCCAGCTGTCAGAATAGCATCAAAGACACAGTTTGAACCATATGGTGCCCAACATTTTAAACGCAGCAAATACATACATGAACAACAAAGACATACTTAGGATACTAGTTAGGACTCCGTATTGGCCCGAATATAAGACGACCCCCTCTTTTTCAAGACTCAAGTTTGAAAAAAGACTTTTTGAACACCAAATTAATTTTTATACAGAAAATAATTACAGTACATCTGAAACAAATGATTACAGACGCTCCCCAGCTTACGAACGAGATACGTTCCGAACGATCGTTCGTAAGGTGAATTCTTTCGTAAGTTGCTTCAGTGCTATATTTTGTATGGAATGTATGTTTAAGGCTTATATAAGTATGTTTACTTGCTAATGATCGTCGATTGCATCGGCACTGCACCTTTCACGTGTTCCATTATGCGATCTTTCTGTTTATAAATGGTACCGATGGTCGAACGATTCATGTTGTATGCACGTGCAACGCTCACCATTTTCTCACCCGCATCGAGCTTCTTTATTATTGCCACTTTCATTTGAAATTAAATGGCTTGCCTCTTCTTTACACTTCCACTCTCACTAGAAGCCTTTCGCTTTTCACCAACCATATTGAATAATGGATGCACGAGATATTTAACAACTGGGCAGAGAAAGCCGGATTCAGGGTGGATGCTGGGCGAGCTCTCACAGCGCCTCACGTCGGTATTAGCGGCGGAAAGAAGCACTACACCTGTACTGTACTCGGAAAAAGGCGCGCAATACAAAATCTAACTTTTTCTTTTCTTTTTCGACATACCTGTAAAAATGTTCGTATGTACTATTGTTCGTAACTCGGATGTTCGTAAGTCGGGGAGCGTCTGTACAACAATATATTTGAGAGAAAAAAACATGTTATTTTGCCTCATTCAAATCTTAATATCTGAACATTTAAATATGTAAACTAAAGTGCAATCACATTCGTCAATGAATGGCTTCTGGTTTTTGAAATGTAAATTAGATCATAACTTCTCCTCAGCTGCCGGTTAACCTGCCGATCTTCGACCCACTTTTCTCCAGATTGTCGCTACGTTTCTCCATTTTCTGTTATCTCTTCTATTATTTTCTTCTCTTTTCTTTCTTACCACTATTTTTTATTTTTCTTCTTCGTGCTACCGCTATTTTTATTTTTATTCTTCGTGACAGGGGTTCGCTTTGGCCTGGGGAGTCAAGTTCAGCATTCGCTTCAATGGTATCTGGCGCCATCTAGCGTCGTGAATGGGTATAACGTCTAGACCCCGAATATAAGACGACCCCACTTCTTATTTCAATGCAAAAAAAAACGTCTTATATTCGGGCCAATACGGTACTTAGGATACTAATTAGGACTTTTTTCTTCTTTCTTACCCATGAATGGGGATGTCGGGACAGCCATAGCAGGTGGGGGAGAGTAGGAGGTTGTAGACTGCAGAAGGGTCATGTAGGATGGAAAGAGCAGCTCACAGCGACTGTTTTCACTGAAGAGAACAGACAGGAAGACCCCGGCTGTGCTACTCTCATCAAAGGATGATGCCATGCGATGAAACATGGGGTCGACCTGGACGGATAACAACAGCCAGGCCAAAGAAAGTTAACGATTATGATGCACAGAAAAAACAAGGGCGATTTAAAAAACACAAGTGATTTATGACTGAAAGAAGTGTGAAACAATCAAGGAAGCGGACAATAGTTCCTCTCATCTTAGATTGCGTTGCGACAAAACATACGTCTTGTTTGAAAAACAGAACCAGATTACAACTTGTCGAGCTAACAAAAAAAGTCAATTAAGTGTTGCAGAAAGCACTACAGGGTTAGTTTATTTGTGAAAGGAAATGATTATGAGAATTCAGACAAGCAGCAATTTTGGAGCATTAACTATTTAATGTGGTCTTACAAATATTCCGGTACCTGATTTTCCAACCAACTCACTTGATACACTGAGTTTCCCTTCCTTTCGGTTTCTCGCTGTAACATCTTGCATCTTGATCTCAACTTACCGGTACTTGTAATGAAATAAATCATTGATATTGCTATGCAAACAGCTTGTCTGAACTGAAAATTAAAATTTCTTTTCCTAGAGGGAAAAGTAAAGTCCTGTCCCTCATAATACAGCTGTGCCATATCTCTATAACAATATTATCATGAGTGGTTCTGTGAAAATTATTATTTTTTTTCATTTAAAAGCAAAAGGATGTGAAAAGTGCTGTTTTTTTTATTTAGGACTTGCTAACAGTCATTGACATTCATAAAGTCAGCAATAAATGAACAAGAATTCAAACAACATTGTTCTACAACTGTGCTTTAACAGCAAACATTTTATGCTACAACAGCAGTCTTTGTTGTGTATGTGGGTTTTTCTGCAGCAATAGTAACTCAAAATAAACAGACTTAATAAATACATGCACGAGTCAAGGTAAATCTCCAATTATGAAGGCCACTTTAAAATGCTGGCAAATTCAGTAGAAATGACAGTACCTCACATTTCCTCTCGGACTCAGCACTATTTAAGTTGTTCAGGTTCTGCTCCACAGTCTTCTTCGGGGGTCTCTTCTTCTTTGGTTGCTTGGTAGTGACCTCAGCAGCTTCATTTTGTTCTTCCTCTTTTAATCCGTTGTCTAGAGTTGCACACATAGACCAGTCAGAAGTTTTCCATTTTAAAATATGAAGGAAATCACAAGCAGATAGTTATGCGGGTAGTTATTTCAAAACAATTCACAATGCTTGCAATCACAGCAATGAGGCTCTGACCTTCTCCGGGTTTGGTTTCAGCCCCCAGGCCACCAAGTACTCTGTAAGCATCAGCATGAACCGCATCCACCCGGACAGCATAGATCTTGGTACTGGCATCCAGTGTACCAGCTGCCACCTGTAAATGGAGAAAAAAAAAAAAAAAAAAAAAAAATTTATGTAGTTAGTTTGTTATTTTAACAAACCAATTATTGGGGGTGTCTCAGAAAAACTGTACAATACCCCAAATAATGGAAATGCAAGAAAGAAAGAAAACCACTGTGTGTGGTTACTTTTGTTGTTTGTTTCAAACTTTTTGTTGTTGGTTCAGGATAGTGGAGCTTTTACACATGCAGTGAGAAATGTATTAGGAAAAATGAAATATATTAAGCGCACACATTTTACACATTTTTGTCCATAATTTTGTCATAATCCTGTTTAGGAAGTGTGAGGTCTTACGTGACCCTAAAGTAGCACTGATGGAAAATTGCGGCCCTCTCCAGCACTTAAGGTCCGTAAATAAGAGAACCTCATCAATGTTGAGGCATTACACACAGGTAAACAGACATGTTGTTATTTATTCGTTTTTTAATATAAATCAGGCGATTTGATTTTTGACCATCAAGCTTCCAGGAATCATGGACCAAACAGTTATAAATTTCATTATGAGCCATCATATGTTTTGCCTACCTGTACCAGGAAGGTTTGTATAGAAACTCTCGAGATATAGTTGAGTATACAGCAGTACAGTGTTGTGATACTTTTGTAGGAGATGTAACTAAATTCTTAGGTGTACTTCAGTAATAGATAAGACACCACTGTATACATTAATGATCAGGGCCTTCTCTGAACACACAGCCGCAAGAACAAGATGCCAAACCTCCAACATACTGTACCTTGAAGTTTGTAAGCTCCGAATCTTTCTGTTTAAGAATATCAGCCATGTAATCAATAAGATGTAAACCAAAGGCATTTTTCGTCGTAATTTTCTATCAAAAAGAGACAAACTGTGCATTAGTGATCATAACATGAATGCTCGGTGATTTCTCTGTAATTCGGATATTTTAAGGTCTGCACAAAAATATGCTCTACTTACATTCTCAGTGGAGAGTTTGATGCAGGTGGAGTAATGTTCTGAGATTTGAGCATTGGACAACTTTGGCACAGCAGCGGGTGTCCCTGCGGCACTGGACACAGTTTTGATCTCTTCAATTAGTGAACAGTCTACACTTTCTGTGCAACTCATGTGATAGCAAACAATCATCTAAACAAGACCAAAAACATGGTGTTCGAAAGAGTTTTAATGCTCCAGAATAACTAATGGACTCTGATTAAAACACAAAGTGCAGTTGACTCTAAATAAGACAAATATAAAGTACAGTTGGGCCTTTCTATCATTACTTTGTTGCATCATAAAAGCATGAAAAAGACAGTAACGTTAAATGCTTAAAATAATTATTGGGCAACACAAAAGGGGGTACCTATCCCAGCTGACTTGGAGCAAGAGGCAAGGTACACCGTGAACTGGTCGCCAGCCAATTTCACGGCATAAAGACAAACCCTTCACATTCACGCGTAAAGACAATTTAGAGCATGAGTGTCAAACTAATTTTGGTCGCAGGCCATTTTGTAGTTCGGGCTTCCCTTACAGGGCCATTATGACAGTCAAACCAAATGAATGCTTAATCGTCTTACTGTATTATTACATAATACACAACAAAATGATCGATTACTAGTTGTGAAATCAGAAGTCAAAGATAATTGTTTGTTAACAAAGGTTTACAATTTTTTTTTTTTTTTGCAAAATCTCCACATTATTATTGATTACACCTGACAATTAAAGATTTTGGTACAGATTTGAGCAGGGGTCATAGAGAGCTCTGTCCTGGGACCCCTCCTCTTCATTATCTACCTTCTCCCCCTAGGCAATCTTTTCCGGAATTTTGGTATACACTTTCACTGCTTTGCGGATGACACCCAGCTTTACCTCTCCAGTAAACCCGACGCCTCCCTCCCACCTTACTCCCTCTCATGCGGCCTCTCAGAAATCAAATCTTGGTTTACCCATAACTTCCTCAAACTTAACAGCGAGAAAACAGAACTCCTCCTCATCTGTACCAAATCCACCATACACAAAGCCGACAGTTTCTCCTTCACAATGGATCACTCCACTGTGTCCCCTTCCCTTCAGGTTAAGAGCCTGGGTGTCATCCTCGATAACTCACTATCTTTCCACTCCCACATCAATAACATAAGTCGGTCCGCATATTTCCTCTTACGTAATATAAATCGTCTCCGTCCCTCTCTCACCCCTCGCACCACTGCTATCCTTGTCCACAGTCTCGTCACCTCCCGTATTGATTAGTGCAATTCACTTATTTTCGGTGTCCATCACAAATTCCTCCATAAACTTCAACTGGTCCAAAATTCTTCAGCCCAGATCATCACTAGAATCCCCTCCTTTCATCACATCACCCCCATCCTCCGACAGCTCCACTGTCTCTTTGTTAAACTTAGAATCAACTTCAAAATACTTCTCTATACATTTAAAGCCATACATTACCTTGCTGCCCGCCCTCATTTGTCTGATCCTCTTCAAATTTCAGTTCCTTCTCATTCCCTCAGGTCCTCATCCTCCCTCCACCTCTGTGTACTCTCTGACAGTCTCAGCACGATGGGGTGCAGAGCTTTCAGCCGCTCTGCCCCCAAACTCTGGAACTCACTTCCACCCAACATCCGTAATATTGATTTTCTTTCCACATTCAAATCCCATCTCAAAACCCACCGACCGTATTTTCCACACTAAAAGGCGCACCTAAAAGCCTTCCATTTTCTTAAAAGCTCAGAGCTCGCCTTAAAATCCGATGCGCCTTGTGTATGGTTATTACGGTAATATGTCGACCCCCAAAATGGCTCCTTGCCAGAGACGTGCTTACAACGCAGAGTTCAAACTTATGGTCATCGAGTTACGCAGTTGAACACGGAAATAGAGCAGCAGCAAGAGAGCTCAATGTTAACAAGTCAATGTTATAACTTGCTGTTGGTTAAGTGAACTGTGTGGCTGCTTTATTAAATAAGTTTTACTAACATCTCATCATTCTGTTGAGCATAGCTCCATCTAGTGGATGCATTGTAGATTGTGTCTTATAATGCGGTGCATGCATTATATGAAAAAAAATTACAAAATAGGCCATTCATTGAAGGTGCGCCTCATAATCCAGTGCACCTTTTAGTGTGGAAAATACGGTATTCAAAATCGCATACTCAATTTAAATTAATCTCTTATAATGAATTATTATTTATAATTTTATCCGTGACTTTATTGTTTTTGTTCTTGATTGTAAAGTGTACTTGAGTGTTTTAAAAGGTGCTTATAAATAAAATATATTATTATTATTATGATGGAGGTTAAGGCACAGGTTTTGCTTTCACAGGCCACATACAATGATGTGGCAGGCAAATTTGGTGGACGGCCTTGAGTTTGACGCATGTGATTTAGAGTACAGTATTCAATTACCTGAATTGTTCTCGTATAGTGAGGCGGGGCAACCTGGTGGGTGGGGGCATGTGACTGTGACCCTTCGGAAAATTTTTTTGGGCTATACTATAAATGTAATTGCACATTCACTACAGTGTTGTGGCAGTGCGGTTCATCGTCAGCGTGCGCGCAAGGAGTATTTTTCACCGAGCATATGAAGTGCAGTGAAAAAGGACACAATGTTATGCATTATGTAATAGGTATACTCAATTTTTTACACAAATTTTACTATTTATAGTCGTGGCAGTGAGTTGGGCTATGCAAAATGTTTTCTTCTTCCTTGCAGAAAATAATTGAGAAGCAGTGAATTTACCTAACATGACTGTTTTTGGAATCTAAAAGATTGCAAGCATACATGGAGAAAACAAAGTTTTCTGAAAAGAAGAACAAAACTCATTTGATTTGTGTAAAACACCCTGAGCCCAGAGGAAAGGAGATTACTTCACACTAATTGTTACATGGAACAATATACCTGTGTGGTGCGGAGTCGTTTAAAGAGGAATCCGTAGCAGTTTGAAGGTCAATTACTCTTGACCGTCTGCGCTGACGTCGCTCCTTCTCATCATCGTTGCCGGGAAAGGCTGCAAGCAAAGGTGTGCTACAGGCCGCTGGTGATAGGCCCTTGTTTTTCATAGACGATGTCCATCCTTGTCGTACCCGGGAGACAGGTGTGGTGGCTGCACTCATCTCGACTAAAGGTAGAATCCAAAAAAGAAACTATTCTAACAGCACAACAATACCATGTGTCCAGTAAGATGCAACTTCTACAAATATAAATATATTCATAAGGTCTACATTAATGCTTAGAGTGCATTATTGGTGTGTTGCTACCAAAAATTATACGTCTATTTACTAACTCAATTTGTGTGGTACCATTATTTTTTTGCAATACTATGCATATCCTGGCATTCCACATTTACCTGCTTTCATTGAATGAGAAAAAGAGGTGATTGCATTCATAAGGTCGATCTTTCCTTTTGAATGCAATACAGACAACATGCTTTTACTGTGTTTACTACGTACATGCTCCGTATGATATAGGGTATCATATTCACCCGTTGCCACAATTTTTGCGCTTAGATGTACCAACGTGGTATTTTAACTCAGCAGAATGGAAAACCACGACAATTTACCTTGTCGTGGTTTTCCATTCTATTACCTTGTCATTTAAAATGTGATCTAGCGAGCACCGTGACTTCGGAGACACGTAAACAGCCTTAGCATAATAACAATGCTTATACTTAGCATTGCAAACACGAACGCAAAGTTCAAATATAGCTGGCGGATTAACGGGCATGTACCTCGACGTAAACCTTACCATAAAATGTATTATACTTGCTCAAAATATGATGAAATGTGTCACATCCAGGGAAGGTTTATAAAAGTCGAAAAACAACAAGGGCTTTCTCACGACCGAGTATTTGAATTTTGCGCCGAACCGTTTACGTGACGCAACAATGCGTATATACGTCATATCCGTCGCCTATGCTGCCGGATGTGGCACTGGAGAAAAACACTGACGTACAAAAGTCGCCAAATGTCACCATATTAATAATATGGCGCATAATAATTATGCACCGTCGTCATCCATAAATTATTAGGATTTTTTTTAACACGTCTAACCCTCATGCTTTGTTCGATTTAACTGACCTTTTTTATGGTGGGACACTGGTGGCCATTTTTGGCCAGACATTTTATTTATTAATTTTGTATTTAGTGTTATTGTTTGTTTGTCTGTCTGTTTGTTTGTTTTTGCACCATTTTCTACATTGGTCTGCAGTTTTAACGAACGTTTGTTCTTGTCGATTTAAAACAAACGCCCGTATTATTATTATTATTATTATTATTATTATTATTATTATTATTGTTATTATTATTATTGCTCTTTGAAATGGGGGCAAATCGTGTAAATAGAAATATAAATGAGAATGTATTGCGATCAACTCTTTCCTTTAAAAAAATCAGTCACTAGATGGCAGTAGAAGATTAACAACGTGCAAAATGGACGACGCCACTGAAAAAAAAAATTTGGATTTACAGTACTTAATTCCAACATATAAATCAGTTGCACATAATTAAAAGGTATTAATTATTCCCGTGTTCCTCAAAAATGTTCACACATGTTAATAGTATGTCACCCAAATGCTGGTCATTTTGTTTTTCAGTGTACAGTAAATGCATGCAAATTTGGCTTCTCCGTATTACGTGTGGTTCAATTTTACTACATTGATTTTAAAAAAAACAATCTTGAATGTGAAATGAAATGGCAGGAGCCAGGGGCGTCACTAGGTTTCAAGAACAAGGGGGGCTTAGCCCCAAGGGGAACACAGCCCCTTT